ATCTAAAAGAACAAAACAAATAGACAATTTAAAAAAATAGTTATGAATGCTAAATAAAAAATATTGAAAAATCAAATACATTGTGAATCATGGGAAGCTATTGACTCCATTGAGTTTGCTCTTGAATTTTGAACTAATCTTGAATAATGAAAAAACAAAACAATTAGTTAAACAAAAAAAATTAGTTACAGAAAATTAAGGTCTGTTTTAAAATGAAGCAGTGGTTAGAAATATGATTTAAAATATGTGCAGTGGTTTGTTTTTCTAGATTGAAACGAGGAAAACAAATCTTATGGTGATTTCTTAACTTGAGTTTTAAAAATAAGAAAAAACATAGTCATCAAGATCAGAAATATTCATGTTCATATACCATGTTCATATACGCATGCAACAACAAAAAAAATGAACAAACCTGGTGATAGCCGATTGGTGACGCCGGAACGGAGATGGTGATTGCCGAGATCTTGGCGTGAATGGCGTAGGCTTGAGAACGCACGAACTGGGAGAATGTGAGATGGTGATTGCCGATTCGTGAGGGCGGAGAAGACGAGAACGACACAGGGGTTGAGGGGTTGAGATCTGTGAATTTCGGCCGACTTGGGAGAAGGGTTGGAAATCGGGTAGGGAGAAGGGCTGGGAAGTGGAATTGGGTTTTTTTCATTGGGCTATAACTAAAAGATTTGGTCTGGGCTAGTGGGCTTACATATATTTAACAGTTAACACTTACTATGGGCTCGGTTATTCGGTCGGTTTCGGTTAACATTGCCCAAAACCAAAACCGAAACCGATAACCGAATTAACCAAATTTTTTTTACATTAAAACCGAAAACCGAAACCGAATTTAAAATTGCGGTCGGTTCGGTTATAGTGTATCGGTTAATCGGTCGGTTCGGTTAATTTGCTCACCCCTATCTATAAGACACCTTATTTCTTTTAATAAGACGAGGGTCCGTATGGTAGCGGGGATCGAACTGCGGATGTAGAGAAGGGTGTAGCCGTCAATGGTGGGTGGCCTTCCCACGATACATTATTATTTAATTTATACAAGTAATAATTTTGTGTGTGTGTCTATATATATATATATATATATATATATATATATATATATATATATATATATATAACATATGTGTCAGTTCATTTGAGTTGAAAAAAATTAATTTCTAATTTTTTCCAATTCTTTACAATTTCTTCCAACTGTTTCTAGTTTCTCCAAACCCTTTTTGGTTTTTTCCACTTTTTTTATAGTTTCTTTTAACAACGAGTAGAAAATATATATACATATGATGAATATACAATAAAATCATATATCCAATTTATAATATGAGAAATTTATTTAAATAGTATTAAAACATAATGATTTTTTTTAAATAGTACCACATGTGTTTTTCTTTCAATGTAACACTTTTAGTCATTATATATTAGTCATTATTCAAGTAAATATTAGTCATCATTGGACATTATGGACATTATTAAGTGCTATTTAGGAAGAATAAAACAGTTTAAGTGATATTTAGGTAAATGACTTAAGTTTTAATGCTATTTAGTGCAAATATTTCTTTAGAGTATACTACTTCAAACACGGAAAAATGATTTTTTTAAATCCAATTTAGTTTTCTTACATATTTATTTGGATGATTATTTCATTAAGTGATTTTTAACACTTTATTTTTCCAACATTTTATAACTTCAATTCTTCAAATCTTTCTAACTTCTATTTTCTTCCAACCTCTACAAGTTTTTCCAAAAATTAAGAGCGTTTTTACCATCCAAATGAACAGAACCTAAATATATTTTGTTGTTACATACACTAAATATTTTTAATTTATAGTTTATCCCCCTCTACTCCTAATTAACTTTTCATTATGACCTTTTGTATATATAAAAAAATAATTTTTTAATCTACTTTCTATTCAAAATCTAATGTATCTAAAAAGTCACAATAGTTGTTTTTAACTTTTACGTGTCAACTTATTACTTATCTTCACCGCCAAGTCTTATTTAAGTCTATTAGAGCATCCACAGTGGTAGCATCTCTATTTAGATGCCCAAATGTAGGCTTTATTTTAAAGATAGTATTAGAGCATCTCTTTGAACATCCAAATCTTTTAATGGTGACATCTCATTGAGATGCCTTGGGTGGATCCTATTCACATATAAATGCCATTTTTATATTATTAATTATGGATTTTTGTATTATATATACAAGTGTTAAATATGGAGTAATTAATTATTAATTAAAAGATTTTTAAGAAAAAAATAGTGTAAATATTTAAAAATATTATCAATGAGTTTTTTTATTGTTAAAAAATTTTGATTAAAAAATTAAAGGCACGGTGGTATTACTAAAAATAAAATAGGGTGTCATATTTTTATGGAGTATTTATTTATTTTGTGCACATCATACTCAATCAAATGAAAGACTATTTCAAACAGATTTATGGCAAACCAAGGCTAACAATTTTTTATGGTATCACTACAAGTTAAGAAAAAGAAAAGAAAAAAAACTTAGGAAAATAGGTTTGTATAAAAAAATGGTAAAGATTTTTTCCCGGGGAAAAAAAGAGACACAAATGAAAAGAAAAAAACATTAAAAAGAGAATGTACTATTAAAAAAAGTTTATTTTACAAAAAAATAAAAGAATGCACACATGATTTTGAATGCTAGCATCCGATGCTCTCTTGAGCATCTCTCACTCTCTTTCTTCTTTGAACACTTACTCTAAGCATCTATCTCCAATAGTGGCACTTATAAACATCCTTTTCTCTCTCCTTTGAGCATCTCTTTTGGGCATCCCATTGGATATGGCTTTAAGTTGCAGAGCCATTTTTTTATCAAAATTGTGTACATTTTAACAAGTACAATGACAAATTATCCTTTTTTTGTAACCTTCAAAATGTTCTACGGAGTAACTTCTAAAAAAGTACTCCCGGTACGTTTTTTGTGTCTTTACCCATGGTTATGTGACTGCGTTTTTTGTGTGAAAATGATACATTTAAACATGATTAAATTTCATAATTGATCCTTTATAACAGAGGGGTTTCCATATTTAGTCATCTATTATCAAATATTACCCCCGTAGTCCTTTTTTAAGGGTACCTTTCCACAAATGATCCTTTTTTTGATCTTCTGTCGTGTTGGTATTAATTTAAAGGCTAAAAGTATAATTTGATGTCAACATTATGCCTAGTAACATGTTCTGATATTGGTTAAGCGGATAACACAAAAATAATGACTATGATTGTGGGCTAGGATTATGACGAAAGATCACATTTGTAGACTATAGTTGTCGAAAAAAGCGACTGTAATTTACAAACGACGCAAACGGAACAGCCTTTGGAATTATGTATGACAAAAAAGATATATTATCATTGTGAAATTACACTTTTAGCCTTCAAATTAACACCAACATAATAAAAGATAAAAAAAGGACTATTTGTGGAAAAGTACCTATAAAAGAATGATCACTTGATAATATTTGATAATAAAGGACTAATTAGAGAAACCCCCTTGTTATAAAGGACCAATAATTATAGAATTTACTCTTTAAAGATAAATATTTATACATCACAGTGTAGACTATAGAAACAAGCATAAATGGCGTGTTAGAATACGGAATAATGTGTTTGGCACAATTAAGTAATTGAAATATTTTCTTCAAAAAAACAAAAGTAATTGAAAGATTGTACCGTACTCCATATTTCCTAAAAATGACTTTTTTTCAAAACTAACTAAAAAAGGCTTAAAGCACATGGAATAAATATTGTTTATTTTAAAACTTCACAGCTCACAGAAAACATGTTGCAACTCACATTTTATAGCCGACAACTCATTTTAAGATCCATTGACCGCTTTGACCCCGACCCACATTGATGTTACTCCGTATATACGGAGTAAATTTTTTAAGTTACTCCCACATTGCATTACATTACTCCTTAAATTATTTTTTACTTATTTGTCAAAATTTTGGTCAAAATTTGTAAACTTTAACTTCAATTTGTAGAAAAATATATTGGATTATCAAATGAATTTAATATCAATATTTTTCTAATAAAACGTAATTTTGATATATCAAATTTATATAAAATCTATCTATACATAAATATAGATATTAAAGTCAAAGTATAACTTTAGAGACCAAAAAATTAAATGAAAAGAACATTTTCGAACGTAGGGAGTATTTATTTTTATTAGAATCAGATCACATCAAAAATAACTTTAATATAATTATATTCAGATCAAATTAGATCAAAATTTATTCTAATCAGATTAATATCATTCAGATTAAATGAAGATAACGTGACCTTATACTTTGTAAGAGCTTATTATAATATCTGCTCATACTATTTTCAACTTAAAGAGTTAAATTTTCCATCTCCACTGGGATCCAAACCTATGTAAATTTTCCTATGAATACTTGGGAGTGAATTTTCTACCACTCAAGTCAGAAGAAAACTCGGAAAAACTAATCGTTTTTTGTTTTATAGTAAAATAGTAAAATTGTTATTACCAAAATGACAATTACTCGAATTTATAGAGCAACAACCGAACGCATTAAATATATACGGGAAAGAAAGGAAAAAAAAGAGCAAATACTTCCGTGAAATTTGCCGTGAGTTTCCGGGGTTATCCTGTGGTGCAGAATTTCAAGCGCCGCCGTGCAAGAAGTGCGGGGGGCGCGTTACCGCCACTCACCGCCGCGACTCAAGAGGCCCCACCGCCCCCGACTCCTCCCTTCATCATCAATCTAAGATCTATTATCATCAACTCTCATATCTATCTCTCTCTCCACACAGCCGATCTCCCCTGTCTCTCTTGTGCATTACGCGTTGAACTTTCCACACTTGTTCTTCTTCTTCTTCTTCCCCGTCTTCTCCCCCTTTTCTCGCTCTTCAATTTTCTCTCACTAAAAGCCCTTTCTCTCTCATACCCACCTCTTAAATCTCTACTACTATATTTGTCATTGTCGATTTGATTCCCTGATTCCACGCCACCTACAGCTCAGAGGAGAGAAACCCATTAATCCCAAACTGGGTTTCTCTCAAGAAAGGAATCCACCCCACCCCCACCCCTACCCTACCCCGTCCCTCTGTAGTTATATACGCCTCCGTATATAATACACCTAATTCATTACCCGATATTAATACTGGGTCTGTATTTGTGCGTTTGGACATCATTTTCAGCCAGTCTGGCTATTAAGAGCACACTAGCTTCCCTCAACTGAGAGTTTAAGAGAGAGACAGAGGGAGAGAGAGAAGAGGGTTGTGCTTTTCTTGGCTGTTCTTCATAATGGGCTTCACTCACTGAGAGGGAGAGAGAAGAGGGGTATTTTTCTTTTCTCTGTTTCTTGGCTGAGAAGGTCCAATGGAAACCAAAGGGAGGCTAATTGCGGGCTCACACAACAGGAATGAGTTTGTGCTCATCAATGCTGATGAGATTGGAAGGGTAAGTGCCCCTGTCAAAGAGATTTGGGGGGTTAAAACCCAGTTTTCAAGGGGTATTTTTGTGTCGGTGCTGAGAACTTTTGCCCCAATTTGGGCTTTTCATGTACCCTCTTCGAGCGTTTCCATTTTTCATGCCAAAGATTTGACCTTTACTGAAGATTTTGGAGCTGGATGCTAGATTTGAGCCAAGAACTTCCCTTTTTCCTATCTCTTTTCTCTGATTTCCGCAATTCAAATCCTATTTTGCTTAATTGAATGAACCTACTTTCTCTCTCTCTTTCTCTCTCGCTCTTGCTTTTACTTTGACTTCGTCAGTAATTTACGGAGCACATAGATTTATAGAAGTGACTTGCCAAAACTGGTTTCATCTAGCTCACTTGCAAAATTCATTGGTTATTGGAGAAAGTTACCCCCGGGCTTTGATTTTATTACCCAAATTGTTAACTGTGGGTTTGGATTTGGGTGTGCTTTGTTCATTGGCATGTGTTAATTACTTAATTGTATAATCATCTGCTCAAATCTTTGGATTTCTTGATCTGATTTGTGGTTTTGTTGCCTGTTCTTTAACAGGTGACTTCTGTGAAGGAGTTAAGCGGGCAGATTTGCCAGATTTGTGGAGATGAGATTGAAATTACAGAAGACAGAGAGCCATTTGTTGCTTGCAATGAATGCGCATTCCCGGTTTGCAGACCTTGTTATGAATATGAAAGGAGAGAAGGAAATCAAGCTTGCCCTCAATGCAAAACCCGGTACAAGCGCATAAAAGGTAATTGCAAGTGTGTGTTAGACCTATCAGTTTTTCTTTATTTGAGACACCTAAGATGTGGATATCATAAAGGTTGAAACTTTACTCCATTTCAGGGAGTCCTAGAGTTGAGGGAGATGAAGAAGAGGATGAATTTGATGATTTGGATCATGAGTTTGATTACCCTGAGCAAATTACCGAAGCAGGACTATCTGCTCGCTTTAACGGTGTCAGTTCTCCATTGGACTCAGACCCCTCTGCTGTTGAGTCAAAAATCCCTCTACTTACCTATGGTGAAGAGGTAGTAGATTCAGTCACATTCTTTCATTTGTTTCCATTGTTAAATTCCCCAAGCTCTTCAAAGTTTCCAGCTTTTAATTCCCTGATATTTGTTTTTAAAGGATGATGGGATTTCAGCAGACAAACACGCCCTTATCATCCCCCCGTTTATGAGCCGCGGGAAGAGAGTTCATCCAGTGCCGTTCTCTGATACTGCATCAGTGGCATGTAAGTAATCTATTGGTTTTGTTGATGAATGTTCATCTTTGACAGGAAAGTCCAGTGCACGAGAGTTAACTCTATGATTATTGAATTTTTTGTTTAGCAATGCCTCCTCGGCCCATGGATCCGAAGAAAGATTTGGCTGTCTATGGGTATGGGACTGTTGCTTGGAAGGAAAGAATGGAGGAGTGGAAGAAAAAGCAGAGTGATAAGCTGCAGGTAGTTAAGCATGAAGGAGATAAAGGTGGCCGTGACGAGCTGGATGATCCCGATTTGCCTAAGTAGGTTTATCACCTTTTGATTCTAGTCCATAACAAATTGCTTACTAAAGATAGTAAGAGAGTGTTTTGAGGTGCTTAAAGTTTTTAAAAAGTGTATTTTGCCAACACAATTGAAAATCGTCCCAAATGTGCTTCTCAAGCTATTGCTTCTCTATCTCTTAAAAAAAAAGGAAAATGAGACACTAGAAGCTGGGAATCAATTTAAAAATAAGTCCAAAAACACCTAAATATAGAACTTCGAGCGATGCAATGGCTGTTTCTTTGAGGTCTTTTGTGATGTAGAAGAAAACACTACTTTGTCTTACTTAGCAAACTACTCTGTGGCACTTTGCAAGCGATTTTGTGGTCAGAAATGAGATTTTCAGTATCATTTCATTGGCTCTATTGCAGGATGGATGAAGGCAGACAACCACTTTCAAGAAAGTTATCAATTCCCTCAAGCAAACTAAGTCCTTACAGATTAATCATTCTACTCCGTATGGTGATTCTTGGGTTCTTTTTCCATTATCGAATTCTCCACCCTGTCAATGATGCTTTTGGTTTGTGGCTGACATCCATTATATGTGAGATATGGTTTGCTGTGTCATGGATTTTTGATCAGTTCCCAAAGTGGTTCCCCGTTGTACGGGAAACGTATCTGGACAGGCTGTCACTGAGGTATATACATTTCTTGGCATTTACCTTCTGCGCCACCCCTTACATTTTGGTTGTTCTACCATCTAAGTTTTTTTTAATAAATATTTTCCCCTAAGGTATGACAAAGAAGGGAAGCCATCTGAATTAGCCTCTGTGGATGTGTTCGTGAGTACAGTGGACCCCATGAAAGAGCCTCCACTGATTACCGCAAACACCGTTCTCTCAATCCTTGCTGTTGACTATCCAGTTGACAAGGTGTCGTGCTATGTCTCAGACGATGGCGCTGCCATGCTCACTTTTGAGGCCCTATCTGAGACATCCGAGTTTGCGAGGAAATGGGTCCCGTTTTGCAAAAGATTCAATATAGAGCCTCGGGCACCCGAGTGGT